GGAGCATTCCATGAAAGCAGCTATCAACATAGCCTCTCACCTATGGGAGTTAGAAGCTAGTTCCACTCTAGGTGAGGAGGTGCCATGGAAATGTGCTCTACTGAATTTGGAGACCCAAATATTCTGGGCCTGCAGCTAGTGAGTAACCTCCCACCCACGGGAGGAACAAGCTAGCTGCACAGGAGTGGAAGGACCAATAAAAAGCTATGTAGTGAATGGTGAGCAACCAGCATTCCTGAAGACCAGGTTTGCACTACCCTCTTATCTACCGGCCTTAGACCTAGATCCAAAGCACTTGTGGGAGAGATCAATGTAGATATAGATAGATATAGGTGTATATTTAGATGTAGAGTTAGATATTACTTAGTCATGCAAAAGAATGAAATATTGCCATTTGCCATGACATGGATGGAGCAGGTGACTATTATGCTAAGTGAAATAAGTTAGAGTAAGACAAGTATTATAGCATTTCACTCATATATGGAACTTCAGGACAAAGTAAATGAATTTAGGAGAAACAGAAGATAAACAAAAGGAAAACAACAACAACAACAACAACAAAAAACAAAACCAGAGAGGCAAACCAGGAGACAATCTCTTAACTGTAAGGAACAAACTGGTGGTTACCAGAGGGGAGATAAGTGAGGAGTTGGGTCAAATAGGTGATGGGAATGGAGTGCACTTGTCCTGATGAACCTGTGTTATGTATAGAATTGTTAAATCACTGTGTTGTACACTAGCAACTAACATTATATGTTAACTATATTGGAATTAAAATTTTGAAAAACTTTAAAGATTTTCAGAAATTATTAGAATCCATTGAATATTTGTATTTTCTAAGAACCTGCACAGAGAAAAAAGATCCACATTGATATTTGTAATCCCAAGAAAATATCCTTTCCTGTTCCATATAGAATCTTTATTAAATTATAATGTTATTTAAATCAAATGCTTGAAAATAATTTGAAACCCCCATTTGGAAAGATCTCTTCTTGAGCTAGCCCTAAGTACTCAAGAGAGAGAACTAAATTGTCACCTTCTCCCATAAGATTCATGCACATATAAGTAATTACTCAATAGCAAATTATTTTCGGTATGGAACTCATTAAGTGGAAGATGGAGATTGAGAAAATGTAAAACACAAAACTAAAGTTGAATGTACTAAGACATTTGATCAGAAGAAAAGGAGGAAAAAAATAGAGAAAGACTAAGAACAAGTTTCAAAAGCTATGGAAACTTAAGCTGATCAAACAGAACTGACTATTGAAAGAAAATTGTGTAAAATTTTAAGATAACCAAATGAAAAAGAAGAAAGGGAGATAAAATGTTTGTAGTAGAAATACAATACTTTAAAATTAAGAATATCATGGAAGAAAAAAAACAGGGAAAGGATAAAATACTAAGACAGAATTTATGAATTTTATGTGTATGGTAAAAAGAATGACAACTGGGTAAGTGAACAGGGTTATTCTGTGTCACTTGTATTCTATTCAAGGCTTGATCAATGAATGGGTAAATTTGTTGTCACAGATTTGTTCTGTAATACATAGACATCATAACATTTAATTAATATCTGAAATTTCCTATGATTCAGAAACAATATAAATGTAGTTATTTTTGCTAAAATAGTGCATGCTTAAATGAAAAAAATGTTTTTTATGTATTCAAAAATCATTTTCCAAATGTAAGAAATTAAAATTATTTACTGAACTCTGTCAGTAAATTGTTAAAAATTCAAATACTTTCTTATAAAAAAGATCAACTGATTCTTTTCTCTTTTTAAAAATATTTTATTTATTTATTTGAGACAGAGAAAGAGGGAGGATAAGCAGGGGTAGCTGCAGAAGGAGAAGGAGAAGAAGGTTCCCCACTGAGCTGGAAGCTCACTGTGTGACTCCATACCTGGAGGATCCTGGCATCATGACCTGAGCTGAAGACAGTCACTTAACCCCCTGTGCCACCCAGGTGTCCCTAAACTGATTATTTAATTGAGAAACCAAAAGACTATTTAAAACCAGTAAATAAAACTAAGTTTTTAGAAACTTTATCATATGTCAAAAGCCCCATAGATTTTCCATCTTAGAATTAATACTAAATATATTCAAAACACAGCAATATATGCAAGCTTTAAAATATGGAACATAATTATCACATGTCAAGTAAATATTACTACTTCATGACATGTGACAGATTCAACAATATAATTGGAAACTAAATCTGAGACTGCCATTTCATAATATATTAATGGATATTCTATTTATTCTCTGATCTGTAGTCATTACATGGTTTTTTGATTTTGAAAATGGAAAATGATAGTATAATTATTTTATTCACATTACTTATTGATTTAAGATAGAATCATTTCATACTAATAGATTTTAGAATGGCATTGACAATGAATTCTATTTCAATATAAATAAAAATATAATTTATTTGAACCTGTCAGACATAGCAGAGACCTATTTATTTTTTATTTATTTTATTTTTTTAGCAGAGACCTATTTAAAAAGAATCTCTAAAAGTAGCAGCTCCAAAGTGCTGTGGCTCTGCTATTGAACCCACAGAACTGACAGTCACAACTCCACTGGGGGCAGCTTCTGTAGCATCTATGTGTTTCCGTTTTCTCATCTTTAAAATTAGTAGAATAAGAATAAAACCAAAGTAATAGGATTTACAATGATTGTGTTAGAAAATAGGCTAATGACTTCCAAGTAAGCATACACTCTCGGTTGGATGCTGTTAGCTGTTATTATGAATTTACATTTATATGGCAGCTCCTCAACTAAATTTTTAGAGATTAATTAAATACCAAAGACATTAACAATAGCCATCAATACTTTGAGCTAGAAAATTGTTACATATATTGGTTGGGTGTGAGTGATACAGATGTTGGATATAATAGCTTTAAGAAATTTGTGAAAGCCATTATTTAGCATATTTGCTGATGAGCACCTTTTATGTTTTTTATTGTTCTGTCTCATCCTTCAATGTCTAAATTAAGATATAATTATTTTCTTTATTAGGATAATCAATTAATAATCTAGATCCTTTATTACCAGACAAACCTGGGAAGAGTCATGTCATCACCCTGATCTTCATATTCTTCATTAAAAAAATATATATAAAGATATTAGATCCTTGCTCCTCAGATTAGAGTCCTCAGCCAGGGAGGCCTTCTGTAAATTTGTGTGCAGTGCAGAATCACAGGACTGACTTCAGATGAGTGAATTAGAATCTCTATTTTGACATCACCCACAAGTGATTCACACATCCATTAGATCTTGGGATTACTTCTCTAGAAGACATTGAAGTCCCATTCTGCCATAACTGAGGTATTACCTACCATGTGGAGCCATATAAATATGCCTGTTGACATTAGATACATGTAATGCTTCTTCTAAGATTTATGGAGATGATATTTCTTTTGGAGGGTATAAGATGTGATAGGTGAGGATGGAGAGAGGGGACCTTCTTTCATAAGGGAATATGGAGACTGAGGCACCAGGTCCATTTAGACTTTGTTCAAACTGCTTCTCAAGTGTAGGTTTTAGCCACCTGCATGTTTGACAATAGGAGATCCTAAATAATTTTCTAATTTATATGTTCTGTCCTAAAAAAGAAGCATTCAGAAATGGATTACACAAATTTGTTTAAAGTCCTTTATTTAATGGTAACATAAGAGGAAACTGATGATCTTAATGACAAAGAGAAGTGTATTTTCAATATCTGAAGTTTTAAAAAATGGACTTAATATTATATATTGCATAGTAAAAATGATCATCATTATTTTTCTGTCACTCAATTATTTTTGATTAAATCTAAATTAACTGGTATATATTTAAGTTTTTATTTAAATTCCAATTAGTTAGGTGATGGAGATTAAAGAGTGCACTTGTCATGAGCACTGGATATTGTATAAAACCATGGAATCACTGAATATACACCTGAATCTAATATTACACTCTGTGTTGAGTAACTAGAACTTAAAGAATCGTTTTTAAAAAATAACTAGTTTTGCCGGTGCCTGGATGGCTCAGTGATTGAGAGTCTTCCTTTGGCTTGGGCTGTGATCCCGGATTTCTGAGATTGAGTCCCACATTGGGCTCCCTGCAGGGAGTCTGTTTCTCCCTCTGCCTGTGTCTCTGCCTCTCTCTGGGTCTCTCATGAATAAATAAATAAAATCTTTAAAAAAAACTAGTTTGAAAATTATCTGCTTTTATCCTGTTCTCAATGTAATCATTCCAAATAAATATCAAGATGTCTTAGATTCAGGAAGTAGCTGCCTTAAGTGCATTGTTCAATATGGAAATACCTTTTGGTGCAAAGAATTTATCACATTAGTAAGTTTAAACATGGCATTTGCAAGGTTAGAGAAGACAAAAATAAGTTTCTACTAGTTTAAAACTTCTTATAGTTTACTTCTAAACATTATTTTTGAGGTCAGAAGTTATAAATTAGAAGACCAATTCAAAATTCGAAGTGTCAGATATTAATGTGACAAGAATCTACATTCGAGACACGAAGAAAAAAAAGGAGGAAAACGTATTTTCATTTAAGGACCAGGTAGAAAATGTCTAGTTACAAAATAGTGAACTGTGTCAAGTGACACGATTATCCTTCTGTGTGTTTAGATGTGATCTATGGCTATTCTTGGGCATGTTGAGAATGGGATGATGCAGGTCCAAAGACTGGATTTGAATATTGGATCTGAAGTGTAACCATGGGTGCAGTCTTTGTAAAAAATGCAAAAATGTTTCTCACAGAAGTCTCTTCAACCACTAATTGGTGATAATAGCACATCTATATCCATATTATTAAATTACTTTATATTAGCCATACATAGTTCCAAATACAAAGCAGGCACTCAACATGTTAGACTGTTAGTCTGCATTCAGTTACTGAGGCACGCTCAGGAATCCTTTTATTTCTCTAGGACTGTGTGATTGGATTAAAAGCTTCAGTGAGTGGTCTCTATTTACAGGTATACCTCAGTATTTTCAATGGGCACAGACAATGCAACCCGTCACCAGGATTTTCTCCTGCTGGGCTTTCCTGGGTCCCAGGTCCTTCAGCTATCTCTCTTTATGCTTTTTCTGGTAATGTACATTCTCACAGTGGGTGGGAACATGGCTATCTTGATGCTGGTGAGTACCTCCCACCAGCTACATACCCCGATGTACTTCTTTCTGAGCAACCTTTCTTTCTTGGAGATCTGGTATACCACAGCTGCAGTCCCCAAAGCCCTGGCCATCCTTCTGGGGAGAAGCCAAACCATAACATTCACTGGCTGCCTTTTGCAGATGTACCTTGTTTTCTCATTGGGCTGCACAGAGTACTTCCTCCTGGCAGCCATGGCTTACGACCGCTATCTGGCTATCTGCTATCCTCTACACTATGGGGCCATCATGAGTAGCCTGCTCTCAGCACAGCTAGCCCTGGGATCATGGCTGTGCGGTTTTCTGGCCATTTCAGTGCCCACAGCTCTCATCAGCACCCTGTCCTTCTGTGGTTCCCGCACTATCAACCACTTCTTCTGTGACATTGCACCCTGGATCACCCTGGCTTGCACCAGCACACAGGCCGTGGAACTCGTGGCCTTTGTGATTGCTTTTGTGGTCATCCTGAGTTCATGCCTCATCACCTTGGTCTCCTACATCTATATCATCAGCACAATTCTCAGGATCCCTTCGGCCAGCAGCAGGAGCAAAGCCTTCTCCACATGCTCTTCACATCTCACTGTGGTGCTCATCTGGTATGGGTCCACCATCTTTCTTCATGTCCGCCTCTCCATCAAAGAGTCCTTGGACCTGACCAAAGCCATTCATGTCCTGAACACTGTGGTGACTCCAGTTCTAAATCCCTTCATCTACACTCTCCGTAATAAAGAAGTAAGGGAAACTCTGCTGAAGAAGTGGAAGGGGAATTAAACCACCCTCAAAAAAATAAATCTGTAAATTATCTCATATCTCTCCAAGTAAGAATAGGAGGGGAAGGGGAAGGCAAAATGTTCCTTGATACAGGAGAGAAAATAAACCGAAGGAAAACCAAAACAGAACAAAAGCTGTATATACTTGTTCTGCATTTTAATATATGATTGGAAATGGGGTTCTTGATATAAGTAAACTGGACTCTTAAGAAATAAAGAATGTGTACACTGAGTTAGGTTTGTCTTTGACTTTAATTTATAAAACTTGGTGCTCTGAGAATGGTATATTACTAAATACACTTTAAATTCATCTCCCTTTAAAAAATGTCCTTGATCATATAAGGAAAAACTTTTGAGAGACGTATTTTTGAAATATGAAGTAGAAAAAATAGGGAAAGTTTGAATGAGTAAAGAGATACGTGAAATCAGAGTGTGCAAATATTTAAATATACTATTTTCTGGATAAAATACAGTAAAAAGGTATATACAAAATGATAACTATCATTTGCCACATTTGTTTAACAAGGATAGTGAACAAAGCAATCTAAAAAATCAGGTGACAAAAAGTGGAAAGTAGATACACAGGACAGCAGGAGGGTTTGAAAAAAGCAAGAGAAGTCCCTCACATAACGTTTTGTCCCTAGAAAAGAAAAAATACTAATTCTGATTATTAGCATGTCATGAAGATAATCATGATAGTTACTTTATTTCCTTCTGGTAACATTTTTTTAGGGAGCAAGATACATTTCTTTGAACCATCAGCTAGTCAAAGGTTCATTTCCCTCTCCTTATCCCATTTTCCATGGTTGTGTGTTAGTAGCAGCAAAGAGAGGCTTAGCAGACTGAACAAGTCTAGAGATAGAATCTGTCCCATTCTGCGTTGGCTTACACACACACAAATAGGGCTGCTTGTCAAAGGAGAAAAGCCTGCGGGACTGAGTAGCAGCTAACCCTTAGATTCTGTATATTTGTGTTAATTTAAATATTTTTTAGATTACCACTCAAAAATGAAATGGGATGAGGATAGAACAAGAAGACTATATATTTGAAAAGAATAGGACAAAAATATGTCATTGTGAGAGTCATAATATACATTTTCAAAAACTATATCTATATTTAAAGTTTATCACTTAAAATACCATAATGAAATGATGTACAAGTGATCTGATTTACCTTATTTACTGCAAAAATTTCTAAGCTTTACAAATTTAAAAAAAGCACAAAAAGTTGCACAGATTTTTTGTTGACAATGAATATGTATAGCACTTTGCTTGCTTGTGGTGGTATCATTGGTATATGTATATGTCCAAAATAGTCGATATGTATATATAAATTTGTCTATTTTCTGTTGTACCAATTATACCTCAATAGGGCTCAAAATAAGAAATTACTAAGCTAATTTTTGGGGATTTCTAAGAATCAATACTTTTAACGAGAATCATATTGCTACTTTCTGAGTACAAATACCAATCCTGCTTCAGTGGGTGAAACACCAACTCTCAAAAATCAAAAGGAATTGCTACTATTAATCTCAGTGAAAGTTATCTTTAATACCATGCCCTACTGCTTCTGTACACCTCACTGTAACAAAACTCAGGAAATAGTTTTCAGCTTTTTTTTAAAAGAGTTTATTTATGAGAGAGAGAGAGAGAGAGAGAGAGAGAGAGAGAGAGAGAGAGAGGCAGAGACAGGCAGAGATAGGCAGAGGCAGAAGGATACTCCATGCAGGAAGCCCTATTCAGGACTCAATCCTGGGACTCTGGGATCACACCCTGAGTCAAAGGCAGATGATCAACTGCTGAGCCACCCAGGCATCCCAAGTCTTCAGCTTTTAAAGTCAGTGAGGATTTACCCCAAATATACAGATGCAGTGAAACACTGGAACACCTGCACCCCGATGTTTATAGCAGCAATGTCCACAATAGCCAAACTGTGGAAGGAGCCCCAGTGTCCATCGAAAGATGAACGGATAAAGAAGACGTGGTGTGGGCGACCACGAACTAGCTGGAGTAACTGAACCAAACCAGGCCTGGACTTGCGTCCCTCATTCATTCAAAAGGCTCAAGAGCCTAAAGGATGAATAGTTGGTAGACGCTTGAGAAAGGGCTTGAGCAATGGTTCTCAGGGCTCGCTTGTACGTGATCACCCACATAAAACAATAGATACAACTTATTCTGACCTAAATCAGGTCATAAATGTAAATAAGGGTCTGTGCTGTCCTTGCTGGTCTGTTTACCATACCTAATATTCCTTTAAAGTATGCACATCTGGAGCAACAAGCTTATCTATTTACCAAGGTCTTCTGGCACCCATGAGTCTGTCTTACATGCTGAGAAAGGGGAACTTTGGAGGGGTTCACAAACCTGCTAAAAATAAACACCTTCTTGGCTTTGTTTTGCTCATGCTATAAAATGTTGTAAAAACTTGAATAAAGCTGGCACTGCTTGGACATCATCCACTGTGTCCCTCCTGTCCCCATCTCTTTACTTTTTTTTTATTTTCCTCATCCCCTTATCCTCAGGACCCTGATTGTGTTGCCGCAGCACACATAATGATGTGGTTTATGTATAGAATGGACTATTACTCAGCCATTGGAAACGACAAATACCCACCATTTGGTTCAATGTGGATGGAACTGGAGGGTATTATGCTGAGTGTAGTAAGTCAATCAGAGAAGGACAAACATTATATGGTCTCATTCATTTGGGGAATACAAAAAGTAGTGAAAGGGAATTAAGGGGAAAAGAGAGAAAATGAGTGGGAGATATCAGTGAGGGTGACAAAACATGAGAGACACCTAACTCTGGGAAACAAGGGGTAGTGGAAGAGGAGGTGGGTGGAGGGTTGGGGTGACTGGATGAACGGCATTGAGGGGGGCACTTGATGGGATGAGCACTGGGTGATATGCTGTATGTTGGCAAATTGAGCCCCAATAAAAAATTAAAAAAAATAAAGTCAATGAGTGAAAGACTTGGTTTGACATAATATTGTATCAAATATTTAATAAGTGAAGAAAATGAGTGAGAATAAGCAAAATACATTCATCAACTCAACTTTCCCCTCCTATGCTGATTTAAAAAACATTTAATCATAATTTGCATGATATATTAACAAGTAAACATAATAGCTGGATATTTTATTTTTCTTTTTTATTAAAATGACTATTTTCTAAGTTAAAATTCCAGCTAGGTAACATACAGTGCAATATTAGTTCCAGGTGTAGAATTCAGTGATTCTAAATTTAACATATAACATCTGGAGGAGGAGGGGCAAGATGGCGGAAGAGCACGGTCCCCAAATCATCTGTCCCCACCAAATTACCTAGATAACCTTCAAATATTCCTGAAAATCTACGAATTCGGCCTGAGATTTAAAGAGAGAACAGCTGGAATGCTACAGTGAGAAGAGTTCGCGCTTCTATCAAGGTAGGAAGACGGGGAAAAAGAAATAAAGAAACAAAAGGCCTCCGAGGGGGAGGGGCCCCGCGAGGAGCCGGGCTGAGGCCGGGGCGAGTGTCCCCAGGACAGGAGAGCCCCGTCCCGGAGGAGCAGGAGCTGCACCAACCTTCCCGGGGGAAAGGGGCCCGCAGGGAGTTAGAGCAGGACCCAGGAGGGCGGGGATGCCCTCGGGCTCGGGACACTAACAGACACCTGCGCCCCGGGGAGAGCCGCCGAGCTCCCTAAGGGCTGCAGCGCGCACGGCGGGACCCGGAACAGCTCGGAGGGGCTCGGGCGGCGGCTCCACGGAGGGAGCTGCGGGGCGGGAGCGCGAATCCAACAGCGCAGGCCCCGGAGCACAGGGCGCCGGGACACAGCCCAGGATCCGGCCTCCCCCGGGACAGGCAGAGGCCGGGAGGGCCCAGGACAGCGAGGACGCTCCTGCCACGAGCTGAGCAGATCAGCGGCCCCGCCCCGGAGCCTCCAGGCCCTGCAGACGGAGAGCTCCGGAGTTACTGCGGGAGCTGACTCCAGGGCTCCAGAGCTGGCCCCGCCACTGGGGTTGTTCCTCCTGGGGCCTCACAGGGTAAACAACCCCCACTGAGCCCTGCACCAGGCAGGGGCAGAGCAGCTCCCCCAAGTGCTAACACCTGAAAATCAAAACAGCAGGCCCCTCCCCCAGAAGACCAGCTAGACGGACAGGGGAAAAACAAAATATTGACCAAGCAGCACTGGAAAGTTCCAGGGGAAGTCAAGGGACTTAGAATATACAGTATCAGAGGATACTCTCCTTTGATTTTTTTTTTTTTTTGCTTTTTGATTTCTGTTTGCTTCCCCCCCCTTTTTTCCCTCTTTTTTTTCTTATTTTCTCTTTTTTCCTTTTTCTTTCCTTTTCTCTCTCTTCTCTTTTACTCCTTTTCCCAATACAACTTGTTTTTGGCCACTCTGCACTGAGCAAAATGACTAGAAGGAAAATCTCACCTCAAAAGAAAGAATCAAAAACAGCCCTCTCTCCCACAGAGTTACAAAATCTGGATTACAATTCAATGTCACAAAGCCAATTCAGAAGCACTATTATACAGCTACTGGAGGCTGTAGAAAAAAGCATAAAGGACTCAAGAGACTTCATGACTGCTGAATTTAGGTCCAATCAGGCAGAAATTAAAAATCAATTGAATGAGATGCAATCCAAACTAGAAGTCCTAACGATGAGGGTTAACAAGGTGGAAGAATGAGTGAGTGACATAGAAGACAAGTTGATGGCAAAGAGGGAAACTGAGGAAAAAAGAGACAGACAATTAAAAGACCATGAGGATAGATTAAGGGAAATAAACGACAGCCTGAGGAAGAAAAACCTACGTTTAATTGGGGTTTGTGAGGGCGCCGAATGGGACAGAGGGCCAGAATATGTATTTGAACAAATCCTACCTGAAAACTTTCCTAACCTGGGAAGGGAAACAGGCATTCAGATCCAGGAAAGAGAGAGCTCCCCCGCCCCCTAAAAAAACAAACAAACAAAAAAACAACAACAACCGTTCAACACCTGGACATTTAATAGTTAAGC